CCGATCCTGCCTTTGTACTTCCTGATGGTGGCAAACTACCAGCCCTCCAGGAAACCTACAGCACCCGATGTCACAGGAAGGCCAAAAAGATAATCAAGGACAACAACCACCCGAGCCACTGCCTGTTCACCCTTCTATCATCCAGAAGGCGAGGTCAGTACAGGTGCATCAAAGCTGGGACCAAGAGACTGCAAAACAGCTTCACCAGCACATTAGAGGCTGCTGCCTATATACATAGATTAGAAATCACTGGCACTTTAATAAATGGAACACTAGTCACTTTAATAATGTTTACATATCTTGCATTACTCATCTCACATGTATATACTGTATTCTATACTATTCTACTGTATCTTAGTCTATGCCGCTCTGACATTACTCGTCCGTGTATTTATTTAGATATTCTTATAAATTCCATTGCTTTACTTTCATTTGTGTGTATTGGGTATATGTTGTGAAATTGTTAGATATTACTGTTAGATATCCCCAAAAATTGTAAAGTGGTTATCCCACTGGCTATAGGGTGAACGCACCAATTGGTGAGTCGTTCTGGATAAGAGCATCTGCTAAATGACGTAAATGTGCCCTTGAGCAAGGCACTTAACCCTAATTGCTCCTGTAAGTCGCTCTGGTTAAGAGCGTCTGCTAAATGACTAAAATGTAAATGTACTTGTTAGATATACTGCACTGTCGGAGCTAGAAACACAAGCATTTTGCTACACCCGCAATAACATCTGCTCAACACGTACAGTTGAAGTCGGAAGTTTACATACACGTTAGCCAAATACATTTAAACTCAGTTTTTCACAATTCCTGACATTTAATCCTAGTGTAAATTCCCCGTCTTAGGTCAGTTAGGATCACCACTTTATTTTAAGAATGTGAAATGTCAGAATAATAGAAGAGAGAATTATTTATTTCAGCTTTTATTTCTTTCATCACATTCCCAGCGGGTCAGAAGTTTACATACACTCAATTAGTATTTGGTAGCATTGCCTTTAAATTGTTTAACTTGGGTCACACATTTTGGGTAGCCTTCCACAAGCTTCCCACAATAAATTGGGTGAGCCTTCCACAAGCTCCTCCTGACAGAGCTGGTGTAACTGAGTCAGGTTAGTAGGCCTCCTTGCTTGCACAAGCTTTTTCAGTTCTGCCCACAACTTTTCTATAGGATTGAGGTCAAGGCTTTGTGATGGCAACTCCAATACCTTGACTTTGTTGTCCTTAAGCCATTTTGCCACAACTTTGGAAGTATGCTTGGGGTCATTGTCCATTTGGAATACCCATTTGCGACCAAGCTTTAACTTCCTGACTGATGTCTTGAGATGTTGCTTCAAATCTACACATAATTTTTCTTCCTCATGATGCCATCTATTTTGTGAAGTGCACCAGTCCCTCCTGCAGCAAAGCACCCCCACAGCATGATGCTGCCACCCCTGTGCTTCACGTTTGGGATGGTGTTCTTTGGCTTGCAAGCAACCTCCTTTTTCCTCCAAACATAACGATGGTCATTATGGCCAAACAATTATATTTTTGTTTCATCAGACCAGAGGACATTTCTCCAAAAAGTACGATCTTTGTCCCCATGTGCAGTTGCAAACCGTAGTCTGGCTTTTTATGGTGGTTTTGGAGCAGTGGCTTCTTCATTGCTAAGCGGCCTTTCAGGTTATGTCGATATAGGACTCGTTTTACTGTAGATACTTTTGTACCGGTTTCCTCCAGCATCTTCACAAGTTCCTTTGCTGTTGTTCTGGGATTGATTTGCACTTTTCGCACCAAAGTACGTTCATCTCTAGGAGACATAACGTGTCTCCTTCCTGACGGCTGTGTGGTCCCATGGTGTTTATACTTGCGTACTATTGTTTGTACAGATGAACGTGGTACTTTCAGGCATTTGGAAATTGCTCCTAAGGATGAACCAGACTTGTGGAGGTCTACCATTTTTTTTCTGAGGTCTTGGCTGATTTCTTTTGATTTTCCCATGATGTCAAGCAAAGAAGCACTGAGTTTGAAGGTAGGCCTTGAAATACATCCACAGGTACACCTCCAATTGACTCAAATAATGTCAATTAGCCTATCAGAAGCTTCTAAAGCCCTGACATCATTTTCTGGAATTTTCCAAGCTGTTTAAAGGCACAGTCAACTTAGTGTATGTAAACTTCTGACCCACTGGAATTGTGATACAGTGAATTATAAGTGAAATAATCTGTCTGTAAACAATTGTTGGAAAAATGACTTGTGTCATGCACAAAGTAGATGTCCTAACCGACTTGCCAAAACTATAGTTTGTTAACAAGAAATGTGTGGAGTGGTTGAAAAATTAGTTTTAATAACTCCAACCTAAGTGTATGTAAACTTCCAACTTCAACTGTATGTGACCAATAAAATTTCATTTAATTTGAAACATACACAACAACCATGTTTCCCACTCAGTTTCAACATGTTGAACTATTTACAAATTGATCAATCACAGTGAGGTGAGTTTTAAAAGCACATACTGTTTTGATAAGTATTTGATGTGATTTTCATTTGCATTGATGTCAGAGTGATTAGAGGGACAATAGAGCCTGAGTACCAGGCCATTGGCTACCTGATGATCGTTAGCGAGTTGGGTACTACTAACGCATGTCCAGAGTGCATAGATTACCATGACTCAACAGTCACAGATTTTTACTGCGGTCATGACTCATGACTGCCGGTGTGGTGATAATACGATCACCGCAACAGCCCTAGTTACAGCCTGAATTCAAAATGGATTAAATATTATTATTTTTTCTCACTCATCTACACACAATATCCCATAATGACAAAATGAAAACATGCTTTTGGAAATGTTTGCTAATTTATAAAAAAATGAAATGCATAAATCTCTCATTTACTTAATTATTCACACACCTTAGTCAATACATGATGGAATCACCTTTGGCAGCGTTTACAGCTGTGAATCTTTCTATGTAAGTCTAAGAGCTTTGCACACATGGTACAATATTTGCACATTCTTCTAAAGAAAAATCTTCAAGCTCTTTCAAGTCGGCTGTTGATCATTGCTAAACAGCTATTTGCAAGACTGGCCATAGATTTTCAAGCCAATTTAAGTCAAAACTAACTAGGCCACTCAGGATCATTCAATGTCATCTTGATAAGCAACTCCAGTGTATATTTGGCCTTGTGTTTCAGGTTATTGTCCTGCTGAAAGGTGAATTTATCTCCCAGGGTCTGTTGGAAAGCAGACTGAACCAGGTTTTCCTCCAGGATTTTGTGTGTTTGAAATTCACTGCTTGACTGAGGGACCTTAAAGATAATTGTATGCGTTGGGTATAGAGATGAGGTAGTAATTCAAAAATCATGTTTAACACTATTATTGCACACAGAGTCCATGCAACTTATGTGAGCTAAGCAAATATTTAATACTGAACTTATTTAGGCTTGCCGTAACAAAGGGGTTGAATACCTATTGACTCACTACATTTTAGCTTTTCATTTTAAATTAATTTGTAAACATTTTGAAAAACATAATTCCACTGAAATTATGGGGTATTGTGTGTAGGCCAGTGACACAATATCTACATTTACTTCCATTTTAAATTCAGGCTGTACACACAACAACATGTGGAAAAGGTCAAGGGGCGGGAATACTTTCTGAAGGCACAGTATGTCTAAATACAGACAAGGCAACAGACTATGGAGGGTTTTATGCACATCCAAACTGTTCACAGGAGCTGGATAAAGTTCCAACATAAAGAGAAAGGGGGAATGTCCACCCGTTATACTGCTCACAAATTGTATTGTATTGCATTCAAGCCATGGACCCATGGACAGTGGAATCTTTCTAATAAGTTTGGTTTTAAATCAAATTAAATGAAAAACAATCAGTTTTTTAAACCAACAACAATATTTCTAAACAGGTTCAGGTTAGAAGCACTATAGCATAAAATCACTTCTCTCGTTCCATGGCACCTTGTGCACACGTAGGCCTAAATGTCTTTACGCATAACATTTGCACGTCTATACCAAATACTAGGCACCTGTCAATTGCATCGTTGCCTAGAGCGAGGCAGATATATATTTTTAAAATCAGCTGTTGATATGTGAATTATAAAAGCATGAGAGCAAAAACCTCCAATATTTAAAAGCACTCTAAGTAGACCATCTAAAACCCTTTTAATCATAGGTTACGTTTGGCTAATGGCCAACATAAAAAGACGCACCTATACGATGCTGCTAAACCAGCCTTGATTAAAAAGGAGGATAGGCTATGCTTGGTTTTTAATCAAATTAAAAGAAAAGGGGGAAAACCAATCGTTTATTTAGGTTTCTAAATACGAGATTCACCGGCACAAAAGGCACGTCTCTCCTTCCCTGGACACTGTACGTCATGGCTGGATAGGCTGCGTTTCCGCTCTAAAAATCCATGCCATTATCAACTGCGTTACCGTTAAGAACTACTTTTTGTGGATCTTAAAACTTCCCATTAGCGCTGCATGAAATGTTCACTTTTGCACTTGTTTTTAAGGACACACCTCAAATATTGCCACCCCTCCTACCTCAGTGCAAGCGAGCGGATGTTAGACAGGTAAATTGCTGAACCTGGCGTTAGGGCTGGAAAATGCCAGTGCGGCAGTTTTTCCATGACGAAATTGCAAACTAACGTGCATTTGAAACTTGCGCCTCCTTAGCGCCAGCCAAAAAAGGGCCCAGGATGTTAAAAGGAAATTTATTGAACATTTTTATTTATTTTTTTAACTACAGGATGGTAGCTCTCCAGCAACAGGATTGGAAAGCCCTGCTCTATCCCAAATGTACATTGTATTATTCCAATGTTTACAAACAAGAATTTCTGTAGCCCCATGCCATAGCCAGGTATACAAAAAAAGCGGTGGGGCTGCCATTTCGCTGAAAGATTAATCCCAGACTGTAGCCTTAAATCTTTGAACAGATGAGGGGCTCTAAATTGGAGGAGGACAGACTCTTTCATATGACTTGTGAGAGAACATAAACTTCTATGTTGCAACTGTGCTCTGCTTGACCATTTTCTGGCGGGCACCCCTGGCACCTGAGGCATCAACCACAGAGAAACCCCCTGCAGAGTTGGGGAATCCATGAGCTGCCACATATTTGCGGTAAGCTTCACGAATAATGCAAAAGGCTTGTGTGTTGGCATAGGGGATGTCTGTAACTGGGTCTTTGTACAGTGCAGCCTTGTGGGTGACAGGACAGACTTCCTGGGTGGGGGGCTGGGAGCCAGTCCGCACTGCCTGGGGGAAGGCAGCCTCAAAAGCCTCCTCGTCGCTAAAGGTGATGTAAGTGCGGGAGCAAAGACCTCCCATGGGCTGCTTGGAAGGCATGGGACTTGGTGCCACAGGAGCAACGGACTGCGGTGTGTCCTGGTCGAACCTTAAAAAAATACAAACAAATGAACTTTAGTTAATGCTACATACAGTGAGGGAAAAAAGTTTTTGATCCCCTGCTGATTTTGTACGTTTGCCCACTGACAAAGAAATGATCAGTCTATAATTTTAATGGTAGGTTTATTTGAACAGTGAGAGACAGAGTAACAACAAAAAAATCCAGAAAAATGCATGTCAAAAACGTTATTAATTGATTTGCATTTTAATGAGGGAAATAAGTATGACCCCCTCTCAATCAGAAAGATTTCTGGGTCCCAGGTGTCTTTTATACAGGTAACGAGCTGAGATTAGGCGCACACTCTTAAAGGGAGTGCTCCTAATCTCAGCTTGTTACCTGTATAAAGACACCTGTCCACAGAAGCAATCAATCAATCAGATTCCAAACTCTCCACCATGGCCAAGACCAAAGAGCTCTCCAGGGATGTCAGGGACAAGATTGTAGACCTACACAAGGCTGGAATGGGCTACAAGACCATCGCCAAGCAGCTTGGTGAGAAGGTGACAACAGTTGGTGCGATTATTCGCAAATGGAAGAAACACAAAATAACTGTCAATCTCCCTCGGCCTGGGGCTCCATGCAAGATCTCACCTCGTGGAGTTGCAATGATCATGAGAACGGTGAGGAATCAGCCCAGAACTACACGGGAGGATCTTGTCAATGATCTCAAGGCAGCTGGGACCATAGTCACCAAGAAAACAATTGGTAACACACTACGCTGTGAAGGACTGAAATTCTGCAGCGCCCGCAAGGTCCCCCTGCTCAAGAAAGCACATATACATGCCCGTCTGAAGTTTGCCAATGAACATCTGAATCATTCAGAGGAGAACTGGGTGAAATTGTTGTGGTCAGATCAAAATCGAGCTCTTTGGCATCAACTCAACTCGCCGTGTTTGGAGGAGGAATGCTGCCTATGACCCCAAGAACACCATCACCACAGTCAAACATGGAGGTGGAAACATTATGCTTTGGGGGTGTTTTTCTGCTAAGGGGACAGGACAACTTCACCGCATCAAAGGGACGATGGACGGGGCCATGTACCGTCAAATCTTGGGTGAGAACCTCCTTCCCTCAGCCAGGGCATTGAAAATGGGTCGTGGATGAGTATTCCAGCATGACCCAAAACACATGGCCAAGGCAACAAAGGAGTGGCTCAAGAAGAAGCACATTACGGTCCTGGAGTGGGCTAGCCAGTCTCCAGACCTTAATCCCATAGAAAATCTGTGGAGGGAGCTGAAGGTTCGAGTTGCCAAACGTCAGCCTCGAAACCTTAATGACTTGGAGAAGATCTGCAAAGAGGAGTGGGACAAAATATTTTATTCCCTCACTGTAGACTCCCTGGCTAAATAAAGGTTCAATACAAATACTATTAAAATGTAATAAAATGTCAGCAACCATCACCCTACTAACAAAGGACAATAATAGCTTTATTGTAAACAATGCTGTACTCTACTCCAGGTTTATACTGTGGCCACTTGGGCATAATTAAGAATGAGACATTGCATGACTTCTTGTATTTTAAATCAATATATATTGTAAAAATAAAGAAAACCCCTTGAATGACTAGGTGCATTCTACATTGTAGAATACTAGTGAAGACATCAAAACTATGAAATAACACATATGGAATCATGTAGTAACCAAAAACATGTTAAACAAATCAAAATATATTTTATATTCTTCAAAGTAGCCAACCTTTGTCTTGATGACAGCTTTGCACACTCTTGGCATTCTCTCAACCAGCATCACCTGTAATGCTTTTCCAACAGTCTTTAAGGAGTTCCAATATCCTGAGCACTGTTTGGCTGCTTTTCCTTCACTCTGCGGTCCAACTCATCCCAAACCATTTTAGGTGGTTTGAGGTCAGATGATTGTGGAGGCCAGGTCATCTGATGGTCAAATAGCCCTTACACAGCCTGGAGGTGTGTTTTGGGTGATAGTCCCACTAAGCGCAAAACAGATGAGATGGCATATCAGTGCAGAATGTTGTGGTAGCCATGCTGGTAAAGTGTGCCTTGAATTCTAAATAAATCAGTGTCACCAGCAAAGCACCCCCATACCATCACACCTCCTCCATGCTTCACGGTGGGAACCACACATGCGGAGATCATACGTTCACCTACTCTACGTCTCACAAAGACACGACGGTTGGAACCAAAAATCTTACATTTGGACTCATCAGATTAAAGGACAGATTTCCACTGGTCTAATGTCCATTGCTCATTCTTGGCCCAAGCAAGTCTCTTTTTCTTATTGGTGTCCTTTAGTAGTGGTTTCTTTGCAGCAATTCGACCATGGAGGCCTGATTCACGCAGTCTCCTCTGAACAGTTGATGTTGAGATGTGTCTGTTACTTGAACTCTGTGAAGCATTTATTTGGGCTGCAATCTGAGGTGCAGTTAATTCTAATGAACTTATCCTCTGCAGCAGAGGTAAATCTGGGTCTTCCTTTCCTGTGGCGGTCCTCATGAGAGCCAGTTTCATCATAGCGCTTTTTGCGACTGCACTTGAAGAAACTTTCAAAGTTCTAGAAATTTTCCAGATTGACTGACCTTCATATCTTAAAGTAATGATGGACTGTCGTTTCTCTTTGCTTATTTGAGATGTTCTTGCCACAATATGGACTTGGTATTTTAACAAATAGGTCTATCTTCTGTATACCACCTCTACCTTGTCACAAAAACTGATTGGCTGAAACGCATTAAGGAAAGAAATTCCACAAATTTACAAGGCACACCTGTTAATTGAAATGCATTCCAGGTGACTACCTCATGAAGCTGGTTGAGAGAATGCCAAGAGTGTGCAAAGCTGTCATCAAGGCAAAGGGTGGCTATTTGAAGAATCTCAAATATAAAATATATTTTGATTTGTTTAACACTTTTTTGGTTACTACATGACTCCATATGTGTTATTTCATAGTTTTGATGTAGAAAATAGTAAAAATAAAGAAAACCTCTGGAATGAGTAGGTGTCCAACCTTGACTGGTACTGTCATCTTTTCACTCCCTTCTCTACATTCTCTTCCTCTGATTCCGCTGCTAAAGACACTTTCTACCACTCTAAATTTCAAGCCTCTGCCTCTAACCCTAGGAAGCTCTTTGCCACCTTCTCCTCCCTGCTGAATCCTCCTCCTCCTCCTCCTCCTCCCCCCTCCCTCTCTGTGGATGACTTCGTCAACCATTTTGAAAAGAAGGTTGACGACATCCGATCCTCATTTATTAAGTCAAATGACACCGCTGGTCCTGCTCACACTGCCCTACTCTATGCTTTGACTTCTTTCTCCCCTCTCTCTCCAGATGAAATCTTGCGACTTGTGACGGCCGGCCGCCCAACAACCTGCCCGCTTGACCCTATCCCCTCTTCTCTTCTCCAGACCATTTCCGGAGACCTTCTCCCTTACCTCACCTCGCTCATCAACTCATCCTTGACCGCTGGCCATGTCCCTTCCGTCTTCAAGAGAGCGAGAGTTGCACCCCTCCTCAAAAAACCTACACTCGATCCCTCCGATGTCAACAACTACAGACCAGTATCCCTTCTTTCTTTTCTCTCCAAAACTCTTGAGCGTGCCGTCTCTAGCCAACTATCCTGCTATCGCTCTCAGAATGACCTTCTTGATCCAAACCAGTCAGGTTTCAAGACTGGTCATTCAACTGAGACTGCTCTTCTCTGTGTCACAGAGGATCTCCGCACTGCTAAAGCTAACTCTCTCCTCTCTGCTCTTATCCTTCTAGACCTATCCGCTGCCTTTGATACTGTGAACCATCAGATCCTCCTCTCCACCCTCTCCGAGTTGGGCATCTCCGGTGTTGCTCACTCTTGGATTGCGTCCTACCTGACAGGTCCCTCCTACCAGGTGGCGTGGCGAGAATATGTCTCCGCACCACGTGCTCTCAGCACTGGTGTCCCCCAGGGCTCAGTTCTAGGCCCTCTCCTATTCTCTCTATACACCAAGTCACTTGGCTCTGTCATATCCTCACATGGTCTCTCCTATCATTGCTACGCAGACGACACACAATTAATTTTCTTCTTTCTGTCTGGCAGATATATCAGTGTGGATGTCGGTTCACCACCTCAAGCTGAACCTTGGCAAGACGAAGCTGCTCTTCCTCCCGGGGAAGGACTGCCCGCTCTGTGGTCCTCTGTAGCTCAGCTGGTAGAGCACAGCGCTTGTAACACCAAGGTAGTGGGTTCGATCCCCGGGACCACCCATACACAAAAAATTTATGCACGCATGACTGTAAGTCGCTTTGGATAAAAGCGTCTGCTAAATGGCATATTATTATTATTATTATTATATTATTATGATCTCGCCATCACGGTTGACAACTCCGTTGTGTCCTCCTCCCAGAGTGCAAAGAACCTTGGCGCGACCCTGGACAACACCCTGTCGTTCTCCGCTAACATCAAAGCGGTGACCCGATCCTGCAGGTTCATGCTCTACAACATTCGCAGAGTACGACCCTACCTTACACAGAAAGCGGCACAGGTCCTAATCCAGGCACTTGTCATCTCCCGTCTGGATTACTGCAACTCGCTGTTGGCTGGGCTCCCTGCCTGTGCCATTAAACTCCTACAACTTATCCAGAACGCTGCAGCCCATCTGGTGTTCAACCTTCCCAAGTTAACTCATGTCACCCCGCTCCTCCGCACACTCCACTGGCTTCCAGTGGAGGCTCGCATCTAATACAAGACCATGGTGCTTGCCTACGGAGCTGTGAGGGGAACGGCACCCCCATACCTTCAGGCTCTGATCAGACCCTACACCCAAACGAGGGCACTACGTTCATCCACCTCTGGCCTGCTAGCTCCCCTACCTCTACGGAAGCACAGGTCCCGCTCAGCCCAGTCAAAGCTATTCGCTGCTCTGGCATCCCAATGGTGGAACAAGCTCCCCCACGACAGCGAAGTCACTGACCACCTTCCGGAGACACTTGAAACCCTACCTCTTTAAGGAATACCTGGAATAGTATAAAGTAATCCTTCTTCCCCCACCCCCCATTAAAAAAAAAAATATTAAAAAAAAGTGGTTGTCCCACTGGCTATCATAAGTTGAATGCACCAATTTGTAAGTCGCTCTGGATAAGAGCGTCTGCTAAATGATGTAAATGTACTGTGTAATATATATATAGTATAATGTGTATATTTATGTTGTATATACAGGACACATTTTGTAAAAGAGACCTACAGTGGAACAAGTATTTGATACACTGCTGATTTTGCAGGTTTTCCTACTTACAAAGCATGTAGAGGTCTGTAATTTTTATCATAGGTACACTTCAACTGTGAGAGACGGAATCTAAAACAAAAATCCAGAAAATCGCATTGTATGATTTTTAAGTAATTCATTAGCATTTTAATGCATGACATAAGTATTTGATACATCAGAAAAGCAGAACTTAATATTTGGTACAGAAACCTTTGTTTGCAATTACAGAGATCATACGTTTCCTGTAGGTCTTGACCAGGTTTGCACACACTGCAGCAGGGATTTTGGCCCACTCCTCCATACAGACCTTCTCCAGATCCTTCAGGTTTCGGGGCTGTCGCTGGGCAATACAGACTTTCAGCTCCCTCCAAAGATTTTCTATTGGGTTCAGGTCTGGAGACTGGCTAGGCCACTCCAGGACCTTGAGATGCTTCTTACGGAGCCACTCCTTAGTTGCCCTGGCTGTGTGTTTTGGGTCGTTGTCATGCTGGAAGACCCAGCCATGACCCATCTTCAATGCTCTTACTGAGGGAAGGAGGTTGTTGGCCAAGATCTCGCGATACATGGCCCCATCCATCCTCCCCTCAATACGGTGCAGTCGTCCTGTCCCCTTTGCAGAAAAGCATCCCCAAAGAATGATGTTTCCACCTCCATGCTTCACGGTTGGGATGGTGTTCATGGGGTTGTACTCATCCTTCTTCCTGCTGCTTGCCTATTGTCCTGTAGCCCATCCCAGCCTTGTGCAGGTCTACAATTTTATCCCTGATGTCCTTACACATCTCTCTGGTCTTGGCCATTGTGGAGAGGTTGGAGTCTGTTTGATTGAGTGTGTGGACAGGTGTCTTTTATACAGGTAACGAGTTCAAACAGGTGCAGTTAATACAGGTAATGAGTGGAGAACAGGAGGGCTTCTTATAGAAAAACTAACAGGTTTGTGAGAGCCGGAATTCTTACTGGTTGGTAGGTGATCAAATACATATGTCATGCAATAAAATGCAAATTAATTACTTTAAAATCATACAATGTGATTTTCTGGATTTTTGTTTTAGATTCCATCTCTCACAGTTGAAGTGTACCTATGATAAAAATTACAGACCTCTACATGCTTTGTAAGTAAGAAAACCTGCAAAATCAGCAGTGTATCAAATACTTGTTCTCCCCACTGTACGTCTCAATATGTCTTCCATGTTAAAATAAAGGTTAAATAAAAACATCCAAATAGTACTTGATTTCAGCAACAAAGCTCCTAAATCCTGTCCGTGTGTTTGTTTGATTTAAGATAGCAAAGTTGCCTTTCATACTACTGTAAATATGATGTTCTAAAATCAGTGGAAATGGGGTATGCAGTACCTTGTAAAAAAAGAAATGGACCATTAAAATGCCTCCATTAAAACGTCTTAGATGTAAGGTCCCCTGCGTGGTTCTGGTACTGGTTCTGACCGACATTTCCACTTATAAATCAATCTGTGGATACCTTAGATCGAAATGACTTGCATTGAGCCCTGGTTCCCACGGACACGGTAGTATTTTTTTCTGAATCTGTGTGATGTAGGATGTGAAATCTGAAACCACTTGAAGCTGGGATGTCCCTCCTACCATTTCATTCACTCATCTGACTGTCCAACTCCTGGCTGAACCCTACATCACAGCCACTGACAAAGCACATGCCTGCAATTGTTACATCATAGCGCAGCATGAGAGCATGGTTTCATCAGGTAGTACATTCAGAGATCGATTTATAGCCATTAATCTAAAATAATTCATAGATTTGAAACAAAAACCACCTTCTGTTTGTCATAGACAGACATTAATATGAGATGAAAGGCGAGTTCCTAACAAGCTCAGGAAGCCAAGCTAGAGCTCATTGAGACATTTGTTGTGGCTGTTTAAAGAACACTGAACCCTGGATTACAGTTTCTCCTGGCCGAGGTTTCTCGGGTTCCAGGCAGGGCCTCGGGTACGGATGGACCTGTGAAAACTCCTTTCATGTAAATAAGTATTCATCAAATGCATTGTTAAAAATGCATCAAACTTTTGAAGAAAGTATTTTAAAACCATTTATCCAGTTACTGGAATGCTTTTAACAATCTGTTTACACTAGCATTGTTACATTCTCCAAAAATGCTAGCCAGATTGAGTTTCAGTATTTTTTACGAGACAATACTGACATTTTGTCAATTTCTCAATAAAGGAAAACAAAACACTCACACCCCTAAAACTGAGTCTCCTTACCCTTCCACATCCACATTTTCCTCTTTAAAGATGGAGTTGGGCACCAGGGGCATGAGGACAGAGTGGTAGCGGATGGTGGGGCCCTCAAATCGCCGCTTCTTATGGACCCGTTTTTTCTTGTCGGCCTCAAGACGCTCGTAGTTCTCTTTAAAAGAAAAACACATACAGAAAGTCAATTAATGTGACCCTGGCCAAGCTACGTCCATATTTTGTCCCATTGTTCAGTATGCACAACCATGTGTCATGTCTTTTAACACTAGGTCTTTTCTTTCTGTTAATTATTTGGGACGGGCATGAGACCCATAAACTGTGCATGGACAAATCTCCCATCTGTCTCATTCTGTGAGACATCTCATTTTCCTTCCCTGCTTTTGTCCTTGAACCTCTATTTTAAATAGATTTGTAGACAGGTTATTTCCCACCAACTTCACTAATATCAACTCATGTAATAGGGATTAATAGGAACCCATTGTAATCAAATCAGGTAACATGAGCTGTTAACTTGTATATTCAGGTGCCTGTGTCTAATTGCTATTGAGGTAGTCTAAACACCTGCAATTACAGTTTCTTGTTACTGTTTCACTGTGCCTATGTGTGATGGCCATTATGGACTGTAATGTTATGAATCAGTAAACTTAGTGTACCTTGAACCACGTCGCCGTTATTGGGAATTAACAGGGCAACTCTAGACTATTGAGATTCCCCCTTAAGTCTTACCCAGTGATCGGAGGTTGATCTCAGCAGTTATTTTGGCCTCAGCCAGCAACTCTTCCTGTGCCAGGGGTCGGTCGTGGTGGGCTCCCCTCCGCCGTCGTGGGGCATCCTGCCTTTCTTGCAGTCGCAGGTTGGTCTTCCGCGTATGCTCGCTGGTCGACTGGCGCACAGACTTCCGAGCTGGGGAAGAGTTGCCAGTCAGTGACTAGGCTTACAGGGATGTTCCACTCAATACAATTTAACATGTTTTTCCACTTACCGTGGCTGTAGGTAATTCCCCAATATGTGTCTGCATTAGATTTGACACTATTGGTTCAATCACAGAGTTAGAAAAGGTAGAGGACGCACATCCTATCTTTGCCATGAATCGCTTCTGTTACACCATGCTAGCAGATACCCATAGACTTCCAGTCATTGCGCTAACGCTAGTTAGCATTGGCTCACAAAACTACCTCTTAACTTCCTTCACATTAAACACAGACCTAAAAATGGTATCCACAAGTTCATCTGACTCTGGGGAAGTAGATAAAGGGACTCATTGCCAACATCCCAAAGTATCCCTTTAATGATTTATTGCCCACAGTAGTGCTGTACTGTTGCTCAGGCTGTTGCTGTAAGTCGCTCTGGATAAGAGTGTCTGCTAAATGACTCAAATGTATAATTAATTGGCTGTTCCCTCCTGGATGAAATTCTGTGATCCCCCATAACAAGTCCCACCCAGTTGTTGCATGCTATCAGTCTTTTGTCCCAATTGTGCCTTGTCCCCTTTCTACCTATGTGTTCTTATGATCCATTTTTTGTGATGCATCAAAACATCCAAATCAAAATTTGGAATTATTACATATGTGACTATTTAAAAAAATGCAATGTAGGCCCATTCTTCCGATTTTTTGTTTTGTTTTTAATACAAGTCTGATTGGAGTGTTCGTAAGGCGTTGTGCCAGTGGAAAAATCACATTAGGTTGAATTTTGAGTGGGACATCCCATTAAGAGACAGCACATAGTTAAAGAAAATTATTTATCTTTCCTTTATTGAGATTATTTAAAAAGCTACAATCTGTGATTGGTCCATCCATTTCTGGACCTTCAAATTAAATGATTCTTAAAGCCATTGATTCTTGAAGAATATAGCTTATAAATTCCTTTTGAGTAAAATTGTCTTACCCCATTTAAACCAAAATATATGCATCTCTTAATCCATCATTTGTAAACAATGTATAACTTCAATAGGTGTTTTTTCAATAGTCACTCCCCTCAGCAGTTTACCTAAACACATGGCAGGGCAGCCGTTGTTTTTTTTTTTGGATCCCAGTAGCTTTAAGTGTGGCAACAGCACTTAACACAAGCTTTGTAATACCCTGAGGAAAGCATCATTGCTTCTTACAATGATTGAACTTACGGGGCTACATTGTGACAAACCACACACAATGGTAAATCTTGCAATGTCAATTGATGCCATAGCTCATTAAATATTTTCATGAATTAGTTCTGGGTATTCAAAAGTTACATTTTTAAAACTCCTTGCTCCAGCATACTACATTGTTAATGTGAAAAACTGTGATACCACGTTAAATAGCTATCATAGAAAGCTGAAATGATGTACAGTACCAGTCAAAGGTTTGGACACACCTACTCATTCAAGGGTTTTTCTTACATTTTAAAAACTATTTTCTACATTGTAGAATAATAATGAAGACATCAAAACGATAACACATATGGAATCATGTAGTAACCAAAAAAGTATTAAACAAATCAAAATATATGTTATATTTTAGATTCTTCAAAGTAGACACCCTTTGCCTTGATGACAGCTTCGCACACTCTTGGCATTATCTCAACCAGCTTCATGAGGTAGTCACCTGGAATGCATTTCAATTAACAGGTGTGCCTTCATAAAAGTTAATTTGTGGAATTTATTTCCTTACATTTACATTTTACATTTACATTACATTTTACATTTTAGTCATTTAGCAGACGCTCTTATCCAGAGCGACTTACAGGAGCAATTAGGGTTAAGTGCCTTGCTCAAGGGCACATTTACGTCATTTAGCAGGGCACATTTACGTCACTTAATGAGTTTGAGCCAATCAGTTGTGTTGTGACAAGTTAGGGGTGGTGTACAGAAGATAGCCCTATTTGGTAAAAGACCAAGTCCATATTATGGCAAGAACAGCTCAAATAAGCAAAGAGAAACAACAGTCCATCATTACTTTAAGACATGAAGGTCAGTCAATCTGGAAAATTTCAAGAACTTTGAACGTTTCTTCAAGTGCAGTCGCAAAAACCATCAAGCGCTATGATGAAACTGGCTTTCATGAGGACCGCCACAGGAAAGGAAGACCCAGAGATACCTCTGCTGCAGAGGATAAGTTCATTAGAGTTACCAGCCTCAGAAATTGCAGCCCAAATAAATGCTTCACAGAGTTCAAGTAACAGACACATCTCAACATCAACTGTTCAGAGGAGACTGCGTGAATCAGGCCTCCATGGTCGAATTGCTGCAAAGAAACCACTACTAAAGGAAACCAATAAGAAGAAGACTTGCTTGGGCCAAGAAACACTAGCAACGGACATTAGACCGGTGGAAATATGTCCTTTGGTCTAATGAGTCCAAATTTGAGATTTTTCGTTCCAACCGCTGTGTCTTTGTGAGAAGCAGAGTGGGTGAATGGATGATCTCCGCATGTGTGGTTCCCACCGTGAAGCATGGAGGAGGAGGTGTGAACGTGCTTTGCTGGTGACATCGTCTGTGATTTATTTAGAATTCAAGGCACATGGCTACCACAGCATTTTGCAGTGATACGCCATCCCATCTGGTTTGCGCTTAGTGGGACTATCATTTGTTTTTCAACAGGACAATGACCCAACACACCTCCAGGCTGTGTAAGGGCTATTTGAACAAGAAGGAGTGTGATGGAGTGCTGCATCAGATGACCTGGGCTCCACAATCACCCGACTTCAACCCAATTGAGATGGTTTGGGATGAGTTGGACCGCAGAGTGAAGGAAAAGCAGCCAACAAGTACTCAACATATGTGCTAACTCCTTCAAGACTGTTGGAAAAGCATTCCAGGTGAAGCTGGTTAAGAGAATGCCAACAGTATGCAAAGCTGTCATCAAGGTAAAGGGTGGCTACTTTGAAGAATCTAAAATATATGTTTTCTTTGGTTACTACATGATTCCATTTACATTTTTTTTAACATTTTAGTCATTTAGCAGACGCTCTTATCCAGAGCGACTTACAGTTAGTGAGTGCATACATTTTTTCATACTGGCTCCCTGTGGGAAACGAACCCACAACCCAGGTGTTGCAAGCGCCATGCTCTACCAACTGAGCTACACGGGGCCATGTGTTATTTCATTATTTTTATGTCTTCACTATTATTCTACAATGTAGAAAATAGCAAAAATAAAGAAAAACCCTTGAATGAGTAGGTGTGTCCAAACTTTTGACTGGTCCTGTATATCAGAGATATCGGTTGTGTAGATCAAGCTATGGTGCAGGTGGTGACACCCGAATTTGAATCCAGTTATTATGCAAATTAGCAAGGCGGGCAGTGGGCAAAACAACCAAGGAGGTGGGCAGAGCCAAGCACGAGCTAGCGAGATCCTATTGGCGCATAGATTTGCATATGTGTGTATCAGCCCCAGGAGTTGACTGCTGGTAGTTTCGCTTCATAAGTAACTTCTGACAGTAAAAAAAACAAAAAAAAAACACTGCAATTGTTGTTGGTATTTGCGAAATTACCCATAGCTATGTCTCAAAATGTTTGCCAATAAATATTTATAATTTGGTCTCAAAATGACAATCGCTACCATGCTGTCATCAGAAACAGGCTTTTCAATAAGACATACAGTGCATTCGGAAAGTATTCAGACCCCTTAACTTTTTCCACATTTTGTTACTTTACAACCTTATTCTAAAATTGATTAAAATTGTTTGTTTTTTCCTCACCAATCTACACACAATACCCCATAATGACAAAGTAAAAAAAATAGGTTTTAGAAATTTGTGCAAATGTACAAAAAAATACCAGGAATTTCACAAGTATTCAGACATTTTACTCAGTACTTTGTTGAAACACATTTGGCAGCGATTACAGCCTCGAGTCTTCTGGGTATGACGCTGCACAGTTTTCTGGGAAGCGTCGCTGCACAGCTATTTTCAGGTCTCTCCAGAGATGTTAGGTTCAAGTCTGGGCTCTGGCTGGGCCACTCAAGGACACTCAGACTTGTCCTGAAGCCACTAATGCGTTGCCTTGGCTGTGTGCTTATGGTCGTTGTCCTGTTGGAAAGTGAACCTTCGCCCCAGTCTGAGGTCCTGAGTGCTCTGGAGCAGGTTTTCATCAAGGATCTCTCTGTACCTTGCTCCGTTCATATTTCCCTCGATCCTGACTAGTCTCCCAGTCCCTGCCGCTGATAAACATCCACACAGCATGATGCTGCCATCACCATGCTTCACCGTAGGGATGGTGCCAGGTTTCCTCCAGACGTGACGGTTGGCATTCAGGCCAAAGAGTTCCATCTTGGTTTCATCAGACCAGAGAATCTTGTTTCTCATGGTAAGAGTCATTTAGGTGCCTTTTGGTAAACTCCAAGCGGGCTGACATGTGCCTTTTACTGAGGAGTGGCTTCCATCTGGACACGCTATCATAAAGGACTGATTGGTGGAGTGCTGCAGAGATGGTTGTCCTTCTGGAAGGTTCTCCCATCTCCACAGAAGAACTCAGGAGCTCTGGCAGTTTGACCATCGGGTTCTTTGTCACCTCCCTGACCAAGGCCCTTCTCCCCCGATTGCTCAGTTTGGCCAGCTCTAGGAAGAGTCTTGGTGGCTCCAAACTTCCTCCATTTAAGAATGATGGAAGCCACTGTGTTCAATGCAGCAGACATTTTTCGTACCGTTCCCCAGATCTGTGCCTCGACACAATCCTGTCTCGGAGCTCTACGGACAATTCCTTCGACCTCATGGCTTGGTTTTTGCTCTGACATGCACTGTCAACTGTGGGACCTTATATAGACAGGTGTGTGCGCCTTTCCAAATCATGTCCAATCAATTGAATTTACTACAGGTGGACTCCAATCAAGTTGTAGAAACATCTCAAGGATGATCAATGGAAACACGAAGCACCTGAGCTCAATTTCTCATAGCAAAGGGTCTGAATACTTATGTAAATAAGGTATTTCTAATAATAATGTTTCCGCTTTGTCATTATGGGGTATTGTGTGTAGATTGATGAGGAACAAAATGTATTTAAACCATTTTAGAATAAGGCTGTAACGTAACAAAATGTGGAAAAAGTCAAGGGGTCTGAATACTTTCCGAATGCACTGTATAGCCTAGATGTAGCTATCTTTATTAATTTACTGTATGCTTTCCACCATGCATCATATTTGCGACGTTTACACGGAATTCCATTTAAACATGAGATTTTCAATGAGATTAGCAATTTTCCATGGGCACTGCGCGCCACTGACTAAATACCCTCCATTAACAACTAAATTTACGCTAAGCGATGCGTTGGTGAGTCTTAAATCTCCCCACTTGCACTGCCTGAAACTGGCACTTCAGCACACATTTTCAAGGACACACCTCAGGTAATGCCAGCCCTCTCACCTCAGCTTGCTTATGTTATACTGGAAAATTGCCAATCCTTGCGTTATGGTAGGAAAATAGCCAATACTGTAAACCTGCTTAAGTTTGGGCAATATGTTACTTTGCTGAAAATACAGATAGAGCCCTCTTACTCTCTTCAAACTCCGGAAACTCTTGCGGGGCCCTCCTCTCCACTTTGGCTTTCTCAGTCTTCTTCAGCTCCTCCGAGGGCCTCTTTGGTTTAGGCTTGGTCACCTTCAGAGGTTCCTTGGAATAAAACAATTTTGGGACTCATCTATCAACATGTGCATGGAAAATGTGCATATAGTATGTGTATGAAAAATGCATGCAAAACCCACATGAGTTCATTCACCTCAGAACTTCATACTTCGATAAATCTCACTTTTCATAAATGCCATTATCTTTAAAACGATACCAAAATCAACCTATGCATGCATGAGGATACTGAGGTCTCATGGTAGGGTGGGGGTTCCAAAATGGGTCAACTTTGAGCACCTTCTGCTCCTGTGTTTTGTGCCAAGAAGATGTTCTATCAGTGGGTTTGCCAAAGTCTGCTAAACATACACGTGGTCCTGATTCCAACCATTTCAAAAGGTTGTTTGGTAGAAGTAGTGAGGATGCAAGTGCACTAAGTTACCTTATACGCTTTGGTGACAACTCGACTCTTCCTGCGAGGAGCATCGTCCTCCAGGTCACTATCAGGCTCGTCACCCTCATCTATGTCAAAGTCACTGTCGACCTCGTCCTCTGTGTCCGAGTGCTCCCCTCTGTACTCATCATCTCCTGATTCCTTGAGGGAGAATCCAAATCAAACATACATATTAATAATGTCCGATTGAAAATGGGGAACCAGCAGTACAGCCAAATACAGTATTGTATTTACTGTATGTCTTTTTTTCTTTGCTACGGCGGCCCACATGGTACAAATGCACCCATAAATCAACACATTCTACTTTTTAAGTTCTTAACATTTTCGGAGGCCGGGAGCTATAATTGGGACCATTCATACTCTGGTTCTCTGTTTTTGTATCTGCATTAGCAGAGAGCAATCTACAATACGGCAAAGTTAGCAAACAAGGCATTTGGGTTAAGTGCATGTAGGCCGCCATCTTTATGATCGTCCGCTAGTAGAAATAAGCTCAAAAGAGTGCAGTATATCACTCACTGACTCACTTACTGTCAGTAGTCCCCACAACACCATCTCCACAACACCGTCCCCAGTAGCCCCTACAACACTGTCCCCACAGAACATTGACTTGAATGGGAATGTCTGTTCTAATAATAAAAATTGTATTATTATTGTTTGGTGTGAAAATGTGAGCCAGCGACGTATACCCATATCTGTCCTGTGTAGCTTAAGGGCTTTCATTGGTTGCTGTAATCCATACTTTTTAAAAAAAATAAATGATGAACGAGGTCTCCACCAAAATTCCCATCAGATCTGTAAATGGCTGCCGTGCATCACAATCAAACATGAAGCTCCATCTCAACAATTAAACATTTGATTGGACAAAAGTTCTGGTTTGGAACTCGATTAGATCTCTGATATGTGTTTTAGCAAAGGCCACCTGTAATGCATTTTTTATCAACAAGTATGGATTCCTGCAATCAATCATAGGATGTTTAAAAAAAGAAGACAGTGATAAAACAAGTCAAATCAGCCAATCTCTTTGTTAATGGGACTTTCGAAGCAAACGTCCCATTCTATATTTTCATCATACTTCGTCATTCTTATTATTATTATTTGGAATGCTACTCCTCCTACACCATTTAAGCTAGAAACATCATTAAAACGTGCAGATTGGTATGGAATAGTGTACTTGTATACAACTTTTTGATATCTTCTATACATCTAAAACTATTAAACTTTGTCCTTCATTCACTTTCATGGCATTTCCTCAAGATTCTAAAAGGCCCCATTGAGACGTCATCCCTTCCAACATTCCATTACCTATAAATGCAACAATGCAACTTTTGACACAAATCAGCTACTTTGACCACTTTCCCAACAACTTAAGACAAAAAGTTAGAGCATATTGACATTAGTCTACTTCTCTGCCATTCAAATATGTTCACGGAACAACAATATATTATACGGATCTAACAATACAGCTGTTTTAGTAACTCAACAGAACTAATAGGAGCTGGTAGGGTGAAAAATTCCCTAAAATGAGGCCTGTATTTTTCATGATTACTTCAAAACTATGACAAGCTGCTGGGACATGCGGTAATATTATGAAATTGGGCTCCATGTCGGATGCAATGAACTAATTTGAATCAGAAAAAAGCGCTAAAAATGTCATTTGCCCAGCCTACTTAATGAGTAACGACGGTAGGCTCCATCTTTGGCTACCAAGACAGTTAGCTACTGCAGCAAGCTAAGTTACCTACTTACATCGTTGAATCCGCCGTAGGTGGTCTTGTAGAATTCATCTTCTTCAGCATCCAATAACTTCGACATGCGGTTCCCCGCCGTCTTACGGGGCTCTTTGCTAAATGCTAAACTCATTTTGATCTAACTCAGCTAGATAGATTAATAGGGAACGTGCTAACTAAAAAAAACTGAACTTTGTTATTGTTAGCTACCACGAAATACTGTGCATGCATCTAATGACGTCAATATGGTGCGACCTGCTTTTTCTTCTTCAGGTTTGATGGCACACTGACTCCCTACAGCGTGTTGCCGCCACCAACTGGAGGAGAGTCTTCTTCTTCTTTGATATTGGGTTGGCAGATCGCATCCAACTTTGAAGGTGCATACACCGCCACCTACTGTACTGGAGTGTGAGGCCAATCACAGCCGACCCACATTAAATTCTCTTCATTAGTCCTGTTCCTCTAAGAAAGTGAAATAGAGCCCTAGACACCACTTCCCTCCCCTGTCCTCCCCCCACTACACCACCCAAACCCCAACCCTGTCCAACCTCTCTAACCCTTTCACACAATCTCTCCCTATCTACGTCATACAGTTCACAAAATATCAACACATGCTCCACAGTTTCCTCCACTCATCACACAGACCTGTTTCATGTCTCGCTAATATCCACAACGTGGCATTCAAACCTGTGTACCCAAACCGTAGTCTACTCCACACAACTTCCATACTCCCCACCTCTTCCTTAACTGACCGGTGCACGCAATAAAATTGCCTCCCCTTACTACTAGCATTCCACTCCCTTTGCCAAAGATCGAGCCCTTTTGCCCTGATCAAGGACTTGACTTCCCTGCGGCCCAACGCGACCTGAATATCTACCCCCGCTCTCCTCACCGCACTCTTAGCCACCACATCAGCCTTCTCATTACCCCCCACACCCCTATTGGTTGGAACCCATCAAAAGCTTACCACCCCTCCCATCCTCTCCAATCTCATTAACGGCACCATCATCTCCACAAACAAGTCTCCCCTATCCGACCTGCCCGTCTTCACACTACTCAACACTGCAGCCGAATCAGAGCAGATCACCACTAAGTGGTTTCACCTACTCCACCCATCTCAAACCTATAATCACGGCCATCAACTTGGCCGCACACGCTGACACTTAATCAGTTAACCACTTACATACTCTAACATTGAAATCTGGGATATACACCCCTGCCCCCACCCTAGCACTGACTGGATCCTTTGAGACATCTGTATATAACCTTAAAAACGAATAAACCGATCATCTATACATCTTCCTTATTTTATTTAACCTTTATTTATACAGGTTTTTCTCATTGAGATCAAATATATTTTTCAAGAGAGACCTGGTCCAACAGATCTCTCCACACACCGTCTCACCTCATTCTCTCCTGCCCTCGATCATGTCCACATCTACACTTGGTTTCGGAAAAAGCCACGGAGGAATATTCCCCAATGCAATTGCCGGCCCTCTCTCTCTCTCCCCCAGTCCATATTCAACCACTTTCTGCCCGACTGTCCACCCGTACACCCTCTGCTTACCCACTCCTCGCTCCCAGCATACCCCAGTTGCCGTGACCGCAGGATGTCCTTCTGAACTCCCTTTCATCCTTGCCCAGTATGCTAATGAAAGTTAGCCTGCAATGCCTCAACAGATGTCGTCCTGAAGGATCCCACACACAACCTCAGGGCCCTTGACTGTATCCTATCCAGGTGCTGTAGTACCGTTTTGGCTGCCAATCCATATACAAAGCGCCCATAATCCAAAGATGACCTGATAAGTGCCTGAAACATACACAAGTGTTTGTCTATCCAACCCACAATCATATCCTGTCACTGCCCTCATGAGGTTCAGCACCTTCCTACACTTAATTTCAATATACTCAACATGTCTCTTCCACGTAAGCCTCTCATCAAACCACATACCTAAATACTTAAACTCAGACACCCTACCTATATCCTGACCGTATATTTGCAGCCTAACATCTTTAACCTTCCTCCTAGAAAACACCATAAAGAAGGACTTGGCCACAGACATCCTAAACCCCCATGTTAGAGACCTATCTTCCACTACTCTTGCATCTTCCTGATCACATATTTCACATTCCCACCTCTCTTCCATACAGCCCCATCATCAGCATACAGGGCCACACCCACTCCCATCTCCTTAAATATGTCATCTATCATCAGGGTGAACAACACCGGACTAACCACACTTCCCTGAGGAGTACTATTGTCCACTTCAAACCACATTGACAATTCTGACCCCACTCTCACCCATATGACCCGATCGAACAGGAAGTCCATGAACCAGTTATAGAGACGTTCCCCAGTGCACTCAACTTGGTCAACAACCCTTCCCTCCACATGGTATTGTAAGCTTTCTCAATGTCAAAATACACAACTCTCATCACTTATTTTATTGTCAGGGCTTTGGCTATCTCTGTGCTAACTGTCACCAGGGCATCCATGGCAGGCCTCCCTCTCCTGAACCCACTCTGTGCTTGGCGGGGAGTCCCATGATCAAATCAAGCTTTATACATTCACAATTCAAGCTCATAGTTTGTGAAGCAGGATTGCATTCTATCACCTATTCTGTTCTCTATAAAGATATCACATTGGCCATTGAAGCACTAGGGAAAAGTATTTGTGTGAACGATATCTGTTCAATTCAAAGGAGCTTTATTGGCATGGGAAATATGTTTACATTGCCAAAGCAATGATTATTGACATTGTACAAATTGAGGAAATTGAAGATCAACTACAACAATATATTAATAAATGGTGTGAACAATGTAAACTGAATATAATCTAAATGTAGACAAAACTACATTCAGGCAATCTCCATTTTGAAGTAGTCAATTATCTTCTTCTGCAACTTCAATGAGTTGGAAAACAAACTAAAAGGTGCATACTGCCACCTAGCGCAAAAGTATAACAATAAAAGTGTTTTAAAAAGTACAGCGTTATAAATGTGTCCCTATGCTCAATTTACCCCAGTTGTGCCAAGAGACCACTTTTTTGGACAAACAATGTTTTCAAAACTGTTATGTTTACATGAATTCTGATTATTTCCAGGGATACACAACATCCTGAAATATATGTACATATATTTGTTAGAAAGAGTACTATATTTGTATTTTGTGTTTTATTTGGTATCTTATTATGGATCCACAAGGCAGCAGCTACTCTTCCTGGGGTCCAAACACATTAAGGCACATTACATATAAAAATAAATAAAACAGTACGTCATATAACATTACTACACTACCACATATCCACAACATAAAATGTACAATATCCCCATTCAACAATACCTGCGTTGTTTCAAAAAGTGTAGTTTAATGTTTTTTAAATCTGATTTGACTGCTTGCATGAGCTACTTAATGTGGAATAGAGTTCCATGTAGTCATGGCTCTGTGTAGTACTGTGCGTTTCCTGGAGTCTGTTATGGACTTGGGGACTGTGAAGAGACCCCTGGTGGCATGTCTTGTGGGGTATGCATGGGTGTCTGAGCTGTGTGCTAGTCGTTTGAACAGATATCTCAGTGCTTTCGACATGTCAATACCTCTCACAAAGACCAGTAGTGATGCAGTCAGTCTCTTCTCTACTTTGAGCTAGAAGAGATTGATATACAGTGGGGGAAAAAAGTATTTAGTCAGCCACCAATTGTGAAAGTTCTCCCACTTGAAAAGATGAGAGAGGCCTGTAATTTTCATCATAGGTACACGTCAACTATGACAGACAAAATGAGAAAAAAACATTCAGAAAATCACATTGTAGGAATTTAATGAATTTATTTGCAAATTATGGTGGAAAATAAGTATTTGGTCAATAACAAAAGTTTCTCAATACTTTGTTATATACCCTTTGTTGGCAATGACACAGGTCAAACGTTTTCTGTAAGTCTTCACAAGGTTTTCACACACTGTTGCTGGTATTTTGGCCCATTCCTCCATGCAGATCTCCTCTAGAGCAGTGATGTTTTGGGGCTGTCGCTGGGCAACACAGACTTTAAACTCCCTCCAAAGATTTTCTATGGGGTTGAGATCTGGAGACTGGCTAGGCCACTCCAGGACCTTGAAATGCTTCTTACGAAGCCACTCCTTCGTTGCCCGGGCGGTGTGTTTGGGATCATTGTCATGCTGAAAGACCCAGCCACGTTTCATCTTCAATGCCCTTGCTGATGGAAGGAGGTTTTCACTCAAAATCTCACGATACATGGCCCCATTCATTCTTTCCTTTACACGGATCAGTCGTCCTGGTCCCTTTGCAGAAAAACAGCCCCAAAGCATGATGTTTCCACCCCCATGCTTCACAGTAGGTATGGTGTTCTTTGGATGCAACTCAGCATTCTTTGTCCTCCAAACACGACGAGTTGAGTTTTTACCAAAGAGTTCTATTTTGGTTTAATCTGACCATATTACATTCTCCCAATCCTCTTCTGGATCATCCAAATGCACTCTAGCAAATTTCAGACGGGCCTGGACATGTACTGGCTTAAGCAGGGGGACACGTCTGGCACTGCAGGATTTGAGTCCCTGGCGGCGTAGTGTGTTACTGATGGCAGGCTTTGTTACTTTGGTCCCAGCTCTCTGCAGGTCATTCACTAGGTCCCCCCGTGTGGTTCTGGGATTTTTGCTCACCGTTCTTGTGATAATTTTGCTCACCGTTCTTGTGATCATTTATACTGATAACAAGTTCAAACAGGTGCCATTAATACAGGTAACGAGTGGAGGACAGAGGAGCCTCTTAAAGAAGTTGTTACTGGTCTGTGAGAGCCAGAAATCTTGCTTGTTTGTAGGTGACCAAATACTTATTTTCCACCATAATTTGCAAATAAATTCATTAAAAATCCTACAATGTGATTTTCTGGATTTTTTTTCTTCAATTTGTCTGTCATAGTTGACGTGTACCTATGATGAAAATTACAGGCCTCTCTCATCTTTTTAAGTGGGAGAACTTGCACAATTGGTGGCTGACTAAAAACTTTTTTCCCCCACTGTACATGTCATTGATGTTAGCTCTCCGTGTACATTTAAGGGCCAGCTGTGCTGCTCTGTTCTTGTCCCTCTTTGTGGCACTTGACCATGACTGGGCAGTAGTCCAGGTGCGACAAAACTAGGGCCTGTAGGACTTGTTTTGTTGATAGCAATGTCAAGAAAGCAGAGCAGCGCTTTATTACGGACAAACCTCTACCCATCTTAGCTACCATTGCATC